TCAAAATATCACATTAAAATTATTAAAAATAAATAAATAGAGTATTTAATAAAATTAATGTTATATTTTATTTAAATTAATATCTTAAAAATAAAATAAATATATTTTAATATGTGTATTAAAGACAAAAATATCTTTGTAAGTCAAGATAAGAAAGAGACGACCTACGTTCCCCATGCCGTGGGTCGATAGATGTCCCCCATAAAATTTTGAGTTTGCATTCAACATAATCTGCGTCAATCAATGCCACAATTAAACGCAATTCTAGTTTTAATTTTAATATCTTCTTCCACTACTTCTCTCGCTGTTGATGTCTTTCTGCATTTACCCCTAACATTCCATTGCCCCTTTTGACCACCTTCCTCCTTCCTCCTTCCTCCTTCCTTCCTTCCTTCCTTCTCCCTGTCGAGTTCTCCGATACCGGGTTCCGGTTTTCCAGAGCCCACAACTTTGAAGATAAAATAAGCGGATTTTATAACTGGGTCTTGCAGTCCTGTTTTAGTCTTTGTTTAGTTCTTTGGTGGGCGTGTCTGTTTCGAAGTTTGAAGCGGCTCCGGCTACCTCAATACCTAAAGTTTTCATCTTTATCTATCTCGCTTTGATTCATGAAATATTCGATATTACCCACAAAGACTTCGCCTTTCTCTAATTAGACATAATTAAGGGATAGTTTTTGTTTCTTGAGAATTTCGTTTCTTTGCTTTTACATTTACGCGTTTCTGCAGTTTTTATTTCGTTGTTTGGGAGGGAGAATTCAAAGAATACTGCAATACAGAATTTTGAAGGTGGAAAATGAAGAGGGGTGAAATGTTTTTGTTATGGTTTTCTGTGTGGGGTTTGTTTGGAGAGAGAGTTTTGGCGGCAACGGCGACTAGTAGTACAGAGCAGAGGGAGCTTAATCAGACTCCGACATGGGCGGTGGCCAGCGTCTGTGCTGTGATCATCATCATCTCGATTCTCCTGGAAAAGTCGCTTCACAAACTTGGAACGGTTGGTCCTGGAAGCTGCTTATTAATTGAGCTTTCAATACTTGAATTCACCTTCTTCTATGCGTTTCTTCTTGTTCTCAACTGATTTCTTTGCATGGGGTTTTCTTGTTTCGGTTCAATACTCAAGCTTTAACTTCATGCTTTTAGTTAACTGTGTGTTTCTTCAGCTCATTGACTTCTTAGGTATTATCTTAGGGGATGTTTGGGTATTATGTATCTTCTTTCTGCAGAACTACTTTTAGGGTTCAGGAAGAAGCAGAGAAGCATGAATTTTCTTATTTCCCTCTTTTGGGGTTCTAATGCTTTGAATTTTTTGAAGTTTTCTGTCAAATTTTGATCAACCTTTTTGTTGTAATCTCAGTGGTTCACAGATAGGCAAAAGAGAGCCCTTTTCGAAGCCTTGGAGAAAGTCAAAGCTGGTAAGACCTGAATTTTGTAATTACTTATGAATTATGATATTGATCCTGATCTGGAAGCATGCCAATTGTTTCAGAAATTTGTTTTTCTAATCTTGCTTTTTTTTTTTTTTTTCCTGATATACTAAATTTGGAGACAATAAATTCAATGTCAAATTTGACTTTTGAATAATTTATTGCAGAGCTGATGGTTCTGGGTTTCATTTCACTGCTGCTGACTTTTGGACAGAATTACATAATCAGGATCTGCGTTCCTGCAAAGGTTGCAGAAACGATGTTGCCCTGTAAAGCTGAAGACAGTAGCAGTGAGGGGGAAAGTCGGCGGAAACTCTTGTGGTTTGAGCAAAGATTATTAGCTTCTGCTGACACTTCTTCTTTCGAATGTAAGACGGTGAGTATATATGTATTGCTGTTTCATTGTTTTCGGTTTTGAATATTACCATTTTGACAAGTTTTTTTTTCCCCCCAAAATATTGTGTTTCATGTTAAAACATAGAATTGAACTCCACATTCTTCTTGGCAGTTTTTCATGTTTTTTTGACTAATCAAATGTTGTCTTTGCAGGGGCATGTGCCGCTTTTTTCCGTCAATGGGTTGCATCAGTTGCACATCCTCATTTTCTTCTTGGCAGTTTTTCATGTTTTATATAGTTTCATTACAATGATGCTTGGGAGGCTAAAGGTAATGGAATCATGACTTAGTAATGTGTTTTTGGTATCATTCTTGATCTTCTGCCATCTGTAATGCACATACTAGCATAACTGGATAACTTCTACTGCTTGACTGGAAAATTTGTAGTATCTTTTTATTATTCCTTGCAAGGGCCCAAATTGCCAAATTGGCAGTAAATAAACAAAATCAATTACCAAAAAGAAATAGAGAAGACTATGAAGAATATGGTGTTTCATTAATGACTTTTTATGTATTTACAACATTAACTGCAACATAAACTTTGTATTTGGTTCTTTATAGTTTTCACTGAAATCTGCCTTGTTCAGATTCGTGGCTGGAAGGAGTGGGAGAATGAAACCTTATCTGCTGACTATGAGTTTTCAAATGGTATAGCCTAAAAATTTCAATTTAACACTCTTGTGCATGATTTTACAAGTTTAGCTTAACATTTTAGTTCCTGAGTCTATAGTAGCATTTGTGACCTGATTTGGACACATTTTTATGTATAGATCCTTCCAGATTCAGGCTTAGTCACGAGACATCTTTTGTGAAAGCACACACTAGTTTCTGGACAAGAATTCCTGTCTTCTTTTATATTGTGAGTATTTAATTCATTTAACAAGCATCTTTCTCTCTTTCCTTTTTGGTTATGTAAAAAGAATATAGAAGTACCATGATAGCTAGTCACAAGTACAAAAGATGCAAGTTTCTTTAGATGAGTTCTCTAAGTGCTCCTTGTTGTTTTAGTTAGTATTATGACATATTACCTATTTAAGCCAACATTAACTTCTTTAATTATTGCAGGGGTGCTTCTTTAGGCAGTTTTTTAGGTCTGTTGGGAAGACAGATTACTTGACATTGCGAAATGGATTCATCACTGTAAGATATGATTGCAGATCCTACCTTATTTAATGTTGAAGTCATCATTCTTTTCTTAACTGTACTGTACTTATCTTACAGGTCCATTTAGCTCCAGGAAGTAAATTTAACTTCCAAAAATACATAAAAAGATCATTAGAAGATGACTTCAAAGTAGTTGTCGGAGTAAGGTAATAAGTTTTGACTTCCTCTACATAACGTGTCTCCCCTGTGATATCACACTTTCTGTTTAATGTGTCTGAACCTATAACCATCTTGCTTGCAGTCCAGTGTTATGGGCATCTTTTGTGATCTTCCTACTTCTTAATGTTAGAGGTGAGCCATTCTTTCCTTAATAGAGTGTAAAGATTTGCATTTACCATCTGAATTAGAAGCTATATTCGTTTTTTGCTCATAAATTTTGTGCCTTTTCAGGATGGCAGGCTTTATTCTGGGCATCGTTAATCCCTGTCATAGTAAGAAATTTTTCGTCTGTAACTGTTTATATGGAATTTTGAAGACTTTTGCATCATAATCATTTAATTTATTTCAGATAATCTTAGCCATTGGGACAAAGCTTCAAGCCATTATGACAAGGATGGCTCTTGAAATCACAGATAGGCATGCAGTGGTCCAAGGAATGCCTCTTGTGCAAGGCTCAGACAAATACTTTTGGTTTGGCCGACCTCAACTTTTGCTTCATCTCATCCATTTTGTCCTATTCCAGGTACCGAATAACCTCCAATGTTGCTGAAATTTTTATTTAAGATTAATCTATTCATAGTTTGCAGTGTTTAAACTCCTACTTGTTACAATGACTTGACTTATTGCTCCTTTTTGTTTCCTGTGCCTGCAGAATGCATTCCAGATAACATATTTCTTTTGGATTTGGGTAATTGATCAACAGTTCCCTCTCTTTTCTTGAAACCATTTTGTTTCCTCTCTTTTCATTATGTGTCTATGATCGAGCTAGATGTGACACTATGATAATTCCTTGTGCAGTACTCATTTGAGTTAAAGTCATGCTTCCATGCTAATTTCAAGCTTGCTGTAGTTAAAGTTGCATTGGGGTAAGCTTTAAATGCACGTAAGAATTGGATCAGAATGTTTCTATAATGCCAGAATGGTTAACTTCTGTGTTTTGCAGGGGTGGAGTACTAGTTTTGTGCAGCTACATCACACTTCCGCTATATGCTCTCGTCACTCAGGTGCCTTGTTGATAGCCATACTAGTGATTTCACTACCTTTTTTTGTGTCATATAGAATATGTTCTCTAAATTTTGATGGAATCAAACGGGAATGATCTTTGTCACCATGGATACTTGCAGATGGGTTCACAAATGAAGAAATCTATCTTTGATGAGCAAACATCCAACGCCCTTAAGAAGTGGCACATGGCTGTAAAGAAAAAGCAGGGGAAGGGAAAGTCCACCCGAACTCTTGGTGAAAATTCTAGTCCAACTCCTTCATCACTCTCTGGACACACGCTGCGACGTTTCAAAACAACGGGTCACTACACTCTCCCTTCTCAAACCTATGAGGATCATGATGCATCTGATCTTGAAGCCGATCCATTATCCCCCACATCTGCAGCAAGCAACTTGATAATAAGAGTGGATCATGATGAACCAGCAACTGAAATGCACGAAACCCACCATGAAGAAGCCACCAGCGATAATGATGATTTCTCCTTTGCCAAGCCTGCTTCAGTCAGGGAAATATGAAGGAAGTGCGGTTTCTCTCATGCAAACAACACAACAAACAAAACTGTACAATTTACTTTACATGTTGTATTAAGAAAATGTTGTTATTATTTTTTGGAGTCTGGCTTCGAAGTGGCATTTTTTTGTATACTAATTAGCAAGTTTGAGATCTTTGCAAAGTAATTCTTTTTGTTGCATTCATATGGGTGTGCTAATGGTATACCCACAGCAAAAGTATCTGCATAAATAAAGGGTGTTTCTTAACTTTTGCATAATTTAAAATT